CGACTCGTAGACGTCTGCTCAACCCGCTGCATCAACGCTGGCATTCGTCGACCGGATCGCGTCTTCACCTCTACTCCACCGAGACGGCGTCGGTCTGCGATCGCTGGCAGCCGACCGCGCGGCCGTCTCGACCGGTCGTCGGGGCCTGGTGCCTCGGTAGACCCAGGCACCGGCACCAATCGGCGCCAGATCCGCCCTCTCCGATACCACAACTGCGGCGACGACAGGCCGCCGGTTCGAGAAGTCACGTCGAGGCGAAACGTATGCTTTGGCTTCTGGGCGCCGACCGACCGATGGTGCGTTGGCAGGACGAGACGAAACGACAAAACAGCGATTCCTCCGACGACGGCAGCAAAAGCATGCAAGACCCAATGTCTGTGGCATGCGCAACACCAGACACAGTCGTCTCGTGTTACCATGGCAGCAGTAATGTGGTTGGCATGGCTCGAGGCGTGCGTGTCAACGGGCCGACTTCACCGCGTGTCAGGACGCCACGCGACGAGATGCATCCACGCAAGCATTGCGTCCTGATGCCGGTTGGTGGCGGTTGGACGTCGGGGTCGTCCTCAAAGCTCGTTGAGCCCGACGCGTCCCGACGGCAGGTAGAGTTGCCGGCCGCGGTGTTCAGCCGACAAATCTGCATTAGTTCGCCTGAAGATGTACGATTTGAGTCCGAGATGAGGCATCGTCAAATGGAGCCGGAGAGGAGTAGACTCGAAGAGGATGTCAGGGAAACTGGGTGTCAGAGTTGGCCGGAAGGAAAACTAGTTCGCTTTTCTGGCCGTCGTGAAGCACCGAAGGCATGTGAGGGGAAACGAGGCGCTTGCGATCCAATCGAGCAAAGTGTCAAAAGTGACGAGGCAATCGAGAGGTCAAGTCGAGAAGAGGGAAGATTGGGTATCGGCGGAAAGGTGTTGACTAAGTGCTCCGGAGTCTGCGGTTGCTGGTGGCAGCGCAAGCAAAATCGGGGTACCATGGCGGTGACGTATGGCGAAGCGAGTGGTCGCGTCGTTGCTGCCCCGCCCAGCAGAAGGGAGCAGCGCAACGAGAGAAAGGCGGCACGCACTCTGAGCGCCATTTTGGTAGCATTTATTGTCACCTGGACGCCGTACAATGTCTTTGCAGTGATCAACGGTCTGCTGAGTGAAACCAAACCGATTCCTGATTCAGTATACAATGTTGGTAAGCCGATGTCGACATGTCTCGTCGTGCTATTTGGCAAGGACGAAACTGTACAACAACCGAAAAAGTGGTCGCCTTAAGCAACCTTGTGATAGACTCAAAATCTACTTTTTTAGAAAATAATTAACGTCGTCGATTGCAATGGCAAATACATGTTGCATAGGCTTCATTTCCACTGTAAAATGTGATTTAGGAAAGGTCTATGCCCTGTGGCACTTGCACGTGTGGCCAATTAGGATAATTTATGAAAAGAGGTAGGATGATGCATAAAATATCACGATTTATTTGTACTTATGTAAAGCAAATATCCGAAATCTGGAAGTTCTGAATAACTTTATAAAGTTAGTAGATGATCAGAAGATGGAAAGAGGAAAGATGCCAGTAAGTTTAGATGCAATGGATAAACGTACTAATGTTCCAAAAAACGAAATAATAAAGACCTTAGAATTAAATCTAGATCAAACTCGAGAGATCATTGCACGTAAAGCGTTAGGCAAAAGTTGAATCATTAAAATAATCTATTTGGCCATGATTAAGGCATATTTTAACTTCGAGAGCGAATTGTATAAGGGATCACGGGGCTTGACTATGGGATCTTGTTTAGCCCCGAATTAGGCAAAAACTACATAGCTCAATTAAAAGTTCGTGTGTTTTAGCAAACGATTCTAGTTTCAATGTTATAAATTCGATATATGAACGCATAAAAAATAGAGCAAATGCATAAAGTATATAGCAGTACTATGCATGCTGTGGAGTGATAAAAGGATAATAAATTACTATTTCTGAAGGAATAATTGAGACAAGAAGGTAATAAGTTGGGTAGTGATATGCATAGGGAATCCACACACGCGGGTTCTCTTTTTTACTCATCATACAACCACATGCATGAGGCTAAAGTAGGAGTTGTGAAATTTATGATACTAGGGAGTCTGCATCAAGTAGATATAAATGACAGGTAGCAGAAAATCGGTGGATTGAGAAAAATACAACTTCAAAGCGTTCGCCAATAAAAATTAGTAGATAATTACGTTTCAATACTCAGTGATAGGATGAGAGGAGATTTCTATCTGGAGTGGGGTAGACATAAAGTCCACTCTACTCGGTTCCTGATTTTGCCCTCCTGTGAGCTTGCAAAGAAGTTAGACGTACATCGTAACAATGGATGGAGAGAGAGTAACACTTTTTTAAGTCGTACCTTCTCTTCGCGAATGTTCGGATCGTCCTTCTAGACCAGGCTGCCACAATCTTTTGTGCTCAGCTGATAACGTCTGTATTGGGGGAATCCTGCCGAACCATACAAACGAGAGTATGCCAGCACAAAACCACTTGTAAATGTGTGTGGGTGCAAAAACCTGAGCTCGCAGAATACATGGCTAAAACAGGACACGCAATAGAATTATAGGAAATAACCTCTTGCTGGTTACGGAGACTTCACATCAAAGAGTAAGATTAGACAGTTTATAGAATTTAACTAAAAGCTAACATCTTAAATAGGAGGAACGAATGTATGAAATAGGGCAGAAACGAGTTATGGCTGTTGGATAAGCTTAAGGAGAAGATGAGCAGGAAGAGCTAC